TTCTTGGATAATTTCCTCAGGACTTTGTTCCAATAATAAAACCTTTTCTTAAAGTTTTTTATTATCATCAACAAGAACATTAATTTTATCATTATAGTGTATTATGTATCAAGTTTGATAAACACCATTTTATACACGAATTTAATTTAGGCACGAGCGAGCTTGCCACCGAGTGCTTAAATTAATGAGTGTATAGAAAAGTTTATAAACGAGGTGCACACTATACTTTTTTACGACAAATACTTATTATTATCTTAAAATGATTTAAATCAAAAATTTGTATAGAGCACCATTTTTGAAACAATAGGGGAATCTGTGTGTCACCGTCAAATGTCATATTTTTATATTTTATAAACACAGATTATAAAGGTTATAAATCGAAATGTATTTCTTGAAAATTGACAGTTTTTCACAGTGAAAGTAAAGAAAATGTTTTATGAAGACTTTACATTGGAGTCCGTGCCCAAATTTAAGTTATAGTTTACTACCGGCGAAATTAAAAGGTCAGTACAATGTTCATAAGTTAGCAACAGGTTTTTATTCACGGGCCGAAGTTAGTTTAAAGATAGTTGACAGTTGTCAAATGTCATACAATCGTTAAAAAAGATTTTATTATCTCAATACAAAAATACAAAAGTATTAAATAGTTTCTCAAAGCCAATATTTGAAAAGTTTATAATATAAGAAACTATTTAATACTTTTGTATTTTTGTATTGAGATAATAAAATCTTTTTTAACGATTGTATGACATTTGACAACTGTCAACTATCTTTAAACTAACTTCGGCCCGTGAATAAAAACCTGTTGCTAACTTCAGCCCGTGACTAAAGCGCCATAAAGCCACAACTTGTCAATGTGTATTTAAAAGTCACTTAGTGTCATGGAAACATGTACGATAAAGGTCGTTTTAAAGGTGGGAGTAGAAAAAAATACTTTTTCCACTCCTATTACGGAATTTGACCGTTCTAATATCACTTTTATCTATGGAATGACATATATTCCGTAAAGTGTTACAGAATGAAATATTCTATCATCGGATGGCAGAATAAAATAGAATATCTAACAAATTTTAGACCGATCCAACCTCACTTTCTTTCAATTAAATTATTTTTCTATGGTATTTTTTGGAAACGTAGAAAATAGTATATTCTGGAACAAGTTTGGAATACAGCATATTCCAAACGTCTTTCAGACTATACTTTTTTTACGTTTCCACAAAATACCATAGAAAAATAATTTAATTGGAAGAAAGTGAGGTTGGATCGGTCTAAAATTTGTTAGATATTAAAAACAGAGATGTCGCTACGAGTGTTTATTCTGTCATCCGATGATAGAATATTTCATTCTGTAACACTTTACGGAATATATGTCATTCCATAGATAAAAGTGATATTAGAAGGGTCAAATTCCGTATTAGGAGTAGAAAAAGTATAGTCTGAAATACGCTTGAAATTGCATATTCCGCTCTCGTGAAACCGTCAAACTCGCCTTCGGCTCGTGTGACAAACTCTTCACTCGAGCGGAATATGCTGTATTCCAAACTTGTTACAGAATATACTATTAAATGCATAAACCTTTATTAACAATTATAATTATAAAATGGTAACTTCTTACAATTTTTAAAGATAAAAATAATGAAAAAAAACAGGATGTTGTAAAGGTACTACCTAGTACAAATTCTTTTTATATTTATCAAAATCTATGCTAAAAAAGTAATGATTTCTTTTGTCAATTCTGGGTGCAGGTAATATTATTTTAATATATTTTCCCCAAATTTTACTCGTATCGTTTGCTAATGGAAACACAAAGTATCCAGGGTTACCTTTTTGTCTTCTTAGAAATTTTACAAAATCATGTTCACCGTTTAAACTTGTAACCACTCCGACGTAGTTCTTCGTAGTTTTTTTACAGTCGAACCAATAAATAGTTATTTATTTTTATAGTAGGTTCTAAATTTTCTTCATCCGAGTCTGAATAGACATCTGAATAAGTGAGACTGGAGGAAGGTGTATCGCCATCTAAAAAATGTATTATGTCAAATCAGACTATAAGGGGAAAAATAAATTCTACAGTAATACAGTTAAAAAATAAGGGCAAAGGTAATATCGATAAGGCTAATTTTAATTCCTGTATCTTTGTAAATAATATTACTTGTAAAACCTAGGATGCATGTATCGTCTTGCTTATGAAAATTGGAAGATTCAGGCAGGGGCGAATGGGCTCCGGCGGGACGCCGCACTAAAGAATGAAACGGTAAAAAGTCGCGCGCGAGCCATTTTTCTTTATATCTTAGGCTTTCTTGATTCGATTTAAAAGATTTTGGAATCAAAATTCTCGAAAAAGATTTAGTATTTTCCTAAATACAAATATAATAAAAAAACAGTTGCCACTTTGCTGAAAAGTGGTACGAAATCATGATAAGTTTTTGTATTTTTTTGCTCTTTTATTTGAGCAAGAGTAAAATAAAAGCAAAAAATCATAGAAAATAAGACCATATTTAAACATATATTTCCTTTACTTTTTAATTTTACTTAGGTTATACAGGATGTCTCACTAAAATGGATAACGATGGAGCACCTGGAACGAACGTTAAAGTATGAGTATGAGTATGAGTATAAGAGACGTATAACCAGCCCCATTTCCTCTTGACTCTCGAACCCCGTACAGGCCTATGTTTACTTACGCCGATTTTTGTTCTTCCCCAACAACTTCGCGGCTTCACCCGTGTTTGCTGGGTGCGAATGTCCATTGCGTTCAGTACTGTCCCCTATTTGGAGCTCGAGAGCGAGAGGCGAATAGTTTTAATAGCCGTTCCCGGGTTCGCCGAGCCTATGCTATACGCTCAGTGGGGTATGGAGAAGGGACGGGAAGGTGTAGGTTTTTGGGGGACAATTACGCCGACTTAAAACTAAGTACGACGCGGAATCCCCCTAGACCAGTCGATTAATATTACTCCAAGCATTTGGGATTACTATTTGGAGTTGGGGAGTTGTTATTCCGATGCAGGGTGTAGTTTCCTAGTCGAGGGGTTCGTCTTGTTCATTATTGTCATTATCGGTGTCGGATAATTCCTGAACTTGGTAAAGTGTGTCGGTTGTTTTTTTTTTTTTATTTTTTTTATTGTTGCTTATTTACTCCCAGCTGGTCTTGTTAATTTGTGAGAAGTGCATGTTTTGTGCTAACGTGTCATGAAATGTGAAGCATGGTCTCCCGACTTTTTTGTCTTTAAGATCTAGTTTAAGGGTGGGTACGTTTGATTCAAATAGAAAAATTGTAGTTTTATATTTATTTACCAACAGTTTTACAATGTTGTTAAACACTTTTAAAGTGTACCCTCTTTAAAATATATACAAAAAGAAATCTATTTATTTCATTGCCTTTCTCAACGTTGTTTCAAAAAGGTATGTATTATACAATTGTTATACACTTATTAATTTAATGGGATACACCAATGACGCTAACATATATTTGAATCCCTTTGAATTATTATTGTTTTGAATGATTTTACAAAAATTTTTCTCTCAGTGTAGCAGGTATTTATTTTTACTTTTAGTGTAGTCTAATGTTTACAAATTCCGTGGAGTTTGATTAGAGTGCTTTGATTAGGTTGCTTTTTTTTTACTTTGTTTATGTTTTCTTAGTTTGTTGTTTATGTCTTTATGTTTATTGTTTATGTCTTATGTCAAATTTATTTGGTCTCGGTTTGTTATAGTGAATTGTTTTGTTGACAGCTTTATTGCCCTGTTCATACTCAGGTGACGACTTAGGTCTATAAAATATTATTATTTTTTTTTAAATATTTTATTAATTTAGTAATTATAATTATAAAACAGGTATTTATGTTTTTTTAGATATTTTTTCAATATCTATTCCAGATAATATTAAAATAATTAATTTTGAATACTTTTGAATATTATATAAATATCTTAAAATAGCTATAAAAAATATATTTTCATAATTTTTAATGGATATAATAAAAATGTTCTAAAACGTATATATATTTTTTTTTATTAATATCCATTAACTATTCACTGAACATAAAAATAAATATATTTTAAATAAATTTATTAAATATTTACTACGTATTCAAAACAAATATTTCCAAAATAATATTAGCTAAACATCCACTGTATATTAAAAAACATATATTATAAAAATATATTTATTACATATTAAGCAAATATTTATATATTTAAAAAAAACATTAAATATTCATTAAATATTAAATATATATTCAATGAATATTTGGTGCTACTGGAGACGTTTTACTTTAGATTTTTTTGGAATAAAGTTTTGTTAATAAGACATGCAATTAGAAAAATTACTTAGCTTGATTGTTAGGCTATAATCCTGATGCTATGTCTTTCACGGTCTGTCCGTTGTTTCTTGACCTCGCCTGCAGGTCTTTGACAGGCTTTGGTTGTGACAATCCCTGCTGACCAGGTGGGCCGGTTGGCCTTATAATTACTTATTCGGTTGCACTCTTTTACGGCGTTAATAGGGGATCTCCCGCACTTTTCACACTCATTGCACTTTTTTTTGCACTAGTTGCACTTATCGCACTTGTTTGTTTATTTAGTTATTTATTTATTTATTTGTACCAATATTTCCGAATGCTTAGGTTCGTTTTTGGAACTTACGGTTGCGTTTGTCTCGTATACGCTGCTAGGAGAGGAATCTTTAACTACTTGACGCGTCTATCTAAGTCGAGTGTTAAGAGGATACTGAGCACCTGGAACGAACGTTAAAATAGAAAATATAAAAACGGGTTTTCTGAATAGTAATTAAAGATTCAATAAGAAAAAACAAATTTTATTATAAAAAAAACAAAATTATTTAATTATTATGAATCAGTTTCTGAATCGGTCGATTCTGAATATGAATCTTTTTGAATTAATAAGCATTTTGCTTCCGAGGGCAAGTCAGAAGAAATTTTTTTCAGTTTTCTCTTAAAGATGATATTAAAGGATCTGAGGTTAAGAGTAAACGATGATAAATGTCACTGAGGTTGTCCTTGGCCCCCGTTCTTCTTGCGAAATACTGCCTGAAGTATCGAATATCCTTGTGCGTCTTCGCTGAGTAAATCTAGAGGAACCGTTGAAGATGCCCAGATTAAACTTCCATGGATCAAAACTTTATGTACACTTGCAGGCATTTTGTACCAGTTATATTTTTTTACATACAGTTTTGCAGTTTCTTCTGTGTAACGAGCAAAGGCATCTACATCAAACTCGCAATTGCTGGAATTTATGAGGACTAAAATGATGTGAAAACGATGTATTAATTCCTCATCAATTCCGGTAATTGCTGCTGTTTTTTTAGGATTGGCAAAAAATCTTCGCGCAGTATTTCCATAATTTGTTGTCCCTGCAGTTTGTTTTGGAACATCGACAATTATGCCCAATTCCTTATGAATTTTTTCCTGAATTTTTTTTTTCTGTATATGTATCCTTTCGGCAACTTCCGGGTACCTTTTCGTATCCTTTCTCCATACCTCGGTATTAAGATAGATGCTGTAGTATTAATTCGATAGGAAATATGGAGTAGACATTCCATAAATCGTATATGGGGCAAAATTTGCCAAGTGTACCAGGTGAAAAAAATTTTGTCACCGATTTTGTTTAAACTTTACTTATTTGTTGTTCTTATAACGAAGAATCATAGCATAAAATTTTTTTGCTCTAGGATTGTTCATTCAAGAGTTATGGATTATTGAAATTTATCGATTTATTACTTTTTGGTGAAATCGCTTTTTATTTAAAAATGCATAACTTCTGTTCATCTCTTTATTAAATATTTTAATTTAACCACCTTAAATGATTTTTTCCGTACTTTTCAATGGGCTATACCGTTTTTGCAAAAAAAATTGCAATTTTTTTTTAAATTTTGCAATATTTTGCATTTTTTTAAACAATGTGTATTTTTTAATTTTTTTAAAAATAGCATAAAATCGAAGTTTATTATGTTACCTTTGAATAAAAAAAAATTTAGGGTGGGCCCGACATGTAGAAGGGAAGTTTTTCTTATTTGAATGCGTGCGGGTCTAGCCATCGAATAGCTACTACACTGCCGTATGCGTTTATACCTAGTAGATGCGAGTAAACGAATACAAAATGATAATTTAAAATGTAAAATTATGTTTCAGTAGTCAATGATATATTTTAAATATTTACGCTGCCGCACGATATAGTTTTTTAACTGTATTTTTTGCACAAATTGTTTAAGCAGGTCTACATAGATTTCGCAAGGAGGATCGTTGATATTAAATAAAAAATTTATTGTTATAACCGTAACGGCTTGCCTATAAGCTGAATAGGTCAATGGCGTTAATAATATATAATGTCTATAAACGGTTTTTGCTGTCATGACAAGCTCTAAACATTCTCCGTACGGACATTACTTACTTTTTAAACCGTAACGGTCAGTCAGAATATTTGTGTTGCCAATCGGCAGATTAAAATATGATGAGATATGATATGATGAGGTATGGATCTCCGTCTGCCCAAACACCGCGAATCTGGTCCTCGCCTGTGCTACACATTTGCACAAAAAGTGCTGGGAGTCTTCAATCTCCTCCTCGCATCTTTCACATCGTGGAGATGTCGTCTTTCCTATCACGTATCTGTGCTTGTTCAGATTGTTGTGGCCGGAAACGATTTCCACAACAGCCCTTATTTTTGGTCTGCTCAGCTTCAGGAGCTCTACCGACCAGGTTTCTACACCGCTGCTCATAAGGGTCTTGCAAGTGTTGCATCCCGGGCTTTGCTGCCACTCTCTCGCCTTTTGGCGCTTTGTCCATGCTTTAATGAGGTTTACGCCCTCCCTAAACGGCATGCCTACTACCTTCTCTTGAGGACCACATAGAGTGGTGCCCTCCTTTGCTAATCTATCGGCTCTTTCGTTGCCTTTCCATCCGGCATGACCTGGAATCCAGGCAAGGTTGAGCCGATTCCCTTTAGCGACTCGCTGGGGTGCCAGGATGGTTTCCTCTATCAGCTTGGATGAGAAAGACTCATTAACCAAGGCTTTTAGAGCAGCTTGACTGTCTGAGCAAATCCAGATGTCTCCACCTGTACCTCGTTCAGACAGAACCCTCGCGCATTCTTTTATGGCGAGAACTTCCGCCTGGAAGACCGTGTTGTGTCTGTCAAGTCTGTAGACAAAGCTGTCCACCGACTTTTGACCACAGAACCCGGCTCCAACTCCTTCCTTCGTCTTTGACCCATCTGTGAACCAAATGCTTCCATGTTTTGGGCCAAAGCCTTGCTCCCACTGCTCTCTACTGGGGATATGTACCTTGAAACACACCCCTTCAGCTAGCTGGGTTTTTATCCTGTCCTGCGGCATATTCCATATTTCTTTAGGACAGCTTCTCTGAAGCTTCAGATGTGTGAAGCTATCTCTCCATTCACCCACACAGTGAAGTCTGTAAGCCGCTCGCATCGCCGCAGCCTTGCTTTCCAAAGCCAGCGACGGACGGAACACTGCGCTCGGGGTGCTTCTTCTCACAGCGCATATAGCTCTGAGAAAAGCTGCTTGTACCTTGTCCAGCATTCCGCGAGCGGTCTTTAGCAAAGTACGCTTCCACCAGACCGGTGCTGCATAAACAAGCCTGGGAACAATGATTGCCTGGTAGATCCAAGGCCCCACTTCGCTCCCATGGCCCCTCTACACTGCCAGAAGGTGATCATTGCCTTTTGGCATTTATCCTGCAAGTGTTTCCCCCATAAGAGCTTTCTATCTAGCATGACTCCCATATTTGGTCTCTTCAGAAAAGGGAATCTGCAGCTGACCGATCGTAACGTTTGCCAGTTTTTTGAGTTTGTATTTCCTCGCAAACCTTACGACCGCTGTCTTTTGGGCCTGTATACTAAGTCCCTTCTCAGCACACCAACCTTTTTAAGAGCCCCTTGGATTAGGTCCCTAAGTGTTTCCTCATGTGGGCCTCTGACCAGGAGACAAATGTCATCTGCATAACCAATAGCCCGTATGCCGTCTTTGTTTAGCAGCTTTAACAAGCTGTCTACAACCAAGCACCACAGTAGTGGGGATAAAACTCCGCCCTGCGGACATCCTTCTGACACATTGCCTTCCAATTGTTGACCTTGCCAGCTAGTGCTGAGAATTCTACCCGATAGTGCTGACATCCATTTGATAATGCCCTCGGGCACTCCATGTTCCTCTGCACCTCGCCGTATGGCGTTTTTTGAGGTGCGATTAAACGCCCCCTCAATGTCTAGAAAGGCGCCTATGCAAACGCCCTTCCATTCCAGTTGCTCTTCTATGTAGTTGCAAACCGATAAAAGTGCCGTGTCCACGGATCTACCCTTCTGATAAGCGTGTTGTTCCTTGTGAAAGGACCCGCTCTCAGAAACCTGTCGATCAGTTTCTCTAGAGTTTTCAGGAGAAAGGACGTAAGACTGATTGGTCTGAAGTCCTTTACACTTGTATAACCCTTTTTGCCTCCTTTTGGGATAAATACAACTTTGGCTTTGCGCCATTCTTCCGGGGTGTGTCCGACCGCTATGCACCCTCTAAAGAGCCCCACCAGCGCACCCAACGCCACCTCCAGGCTCTCTCTTAGGACAACCGGGTAGATACCGTCGGGACCAGGCGATTTGTAGAGCTCAAAAGATTCCACAGCAGCCTTAACCTTCCTCGCATCAACCACTTTGGCTGCGAGTCCCCAACACCTTTCCGAGCTTACCCGGCATGTATAGTTCCCCGCCACAGGTCCCTCCAAAAAGTCCGGGTAGTTGCTCTTCATCAGCAGCCTAAGCGTTTCTACCGGTGTCTGAGTATACCCTCCATCATCCTTTTTAAGGAATCTAAGGTCCTCACCCCGCGTGCCAGCTAAAACCTTAGCTAGCTTTGCCGTGTCTGACATGGTGCTTGTTTGTGAGCACATGTCTCTCCACGATTCTTAATCAGATGATTATAGATACTCTGGCTTTCTCGATGTGCTTCCCAAGCTGCCATCGTGTTAACTTTTTTAGCCTATTGAAGAGCTTGCGTGTCATCTGCCTTCTATCCGAAAGCTCTTTGCTCCACCTAAGCTTACGCCGCTCGGTGTGCACCTTCTTTAGCGGACAGCTTTTCTCGTAAGCAACCGTGATCGCCGTTCTGATCTCACGTTCACAACGGTCTAGATCTACGGGACTGCCATATCTACCCCTAAAGCCCACGAACCGCGATCGGAGTTCTTCATTAAACATCGACCAGTCTGTGTTCTTTGGATTCCTACACCACACTGCTCTAGATTCCACTCCTTGCAGAGTTAATCTTATGAGTCTGTGGTCTGACAGGGTGGGTTCTGTGGAGACTCTCCAAGACCCGACCCTCTTTGACAGATGTGGGTTACATAAGGTGAGATCTAGAACCTCCCTTCTGTTAACCGTGACAAACGTTGGTTCTCTTCTTCTAGTAAGTAGTCAAGTAGCTCTTCTCCCCTCTGGTTGGTATCAGTGGACCCCCACACCCGGCTGTGGGCGTTGGCGTCACACCCAACCAGCAGATCAAAGCCTTTCTCTTTACAGAACCTTACCAGTTTTCTCACCTCTTATGGGGGTGTCTCCCTATCATGGGCGAAATAGGCAGATGCCAAAACAATCTGCCTGCCACCCTGCCCATCAGTTCCACTTTTAGCAAGCTTGAAAACAGCCAGGTCTCTTGTGGAAAATTCTTGTAAAAAGGCTGCATTCGCGCCCCTTTCAATCACACAAGCCCTGGGTTCTTCTCCACATGCATGAACAGACCCAGCCGCACCAAGACCTCGGATGAGGCCCTTGTATTGCCATGGCTCTTGCACCAACCCGAAGGCAGGAAGTGTTCGCACCATAGACATGCACTTGGCCATAACAGCCGAGGCGCTTTTGCTATGATGTAAGTTTAGCTGAAAGATTTCGGCTTTAGACATAAACATAGCCATTGAAATAATCCTCCCACTCCTCCCTCAGGGTCCAACTGGTTTTTCTAGACGCCTTTGCTGGCTCCAGTTTCGGGGGCGGCACCTTAAGTGTCATTTTAACTCTCTTAATGAGTTCCTCTGGGCGTACAAGCCGCACCTGAGTTCCATCAGAGAGCTTCAACGACGGTACCACCTCTCGAAGCCACTTTTCAGTGTCCTCGTCCTCGCAGACGAAGATCACCTTCCCATGTTGTGGACCGTATCCTTGAACTTCGGGATCACTCCCTCTTCCGTTAATTCCAGGATTTGGTTCAGGACACAGCCCTTGATTTCTTCGAAGACCGACATAGGCAGCTTCTCTCCAAGAGTCTCCCCAACAGTGACTAACACCTTTGGAAGGCTCGAAGCAAGAGCTGCAAACGCCGGTCCTCGCTTTCCGACGGGGTTAGGCCCCTGCCGTACCTTTTTAGTGGCCGGCTTCACCGAGGGGTCGGAGACGTTAGTCTCCATCTTCCTCTTGGCCGTAGTTTGGCTTAAAGAGGCTTCCGGAGCGTCAGCCAGGCGAGTACTAGCCTCAGCCACGGCCTTCTTCTCCTTCTTCCTCTTGGAACCATTCTTCCTCTTTGGAGGAGGGTTAGGAGGGGGAAGCCCCTTCCTTTCAGCCTCCTCCTTCTCCCTCATATATGTTTTCCAGGCCTGCTTTCGCTTTTGAGCTCCGCTGCCCTTCAAACCATCTGAGTTAACAAAGTCGCCTTCCTCCACCACCTCCATCGACATGACTGTCGAAGTCGAAGGTATCGGATCGGACCCAGCAGGTACAGGCCCCGCCTGAGTTACCGACAACTCCGTTTTCTTAGTATGAGGAATGTTTTGCTGGGGAGAGGAGGGCAGGTCAGGCCCGTCCCTTCCCCCCTCAGCAAGCTTCATCTTATGCATCTGCATAAGGTTGCTTTCACCTTCCTGGTTCTTGCGAACGCCAGAAGGCTCGTCCTTACCCACCTCACTCAATGTTTCCACCGACTGAATTGGTTTAGGTGCTTTCTCGGCGGGTACTGGCCCCTGCCGTTGGTTTTTATTTGGTTTATCCATATAAATCCCACGAGTAATTGAGGTTCAGGTAGACCACACCAAGCTACCTCTTGCCTGGGCTAGGCTTGCCACCGAGACTCAAGAGCCTCGGTGGCTACTGCAGGAGGTCGCCCGGTATCCTGCAGGGACCGTTAGAGACACCGCATCCCCGGAGCCATGCATCCCTCGGCACGGTACACTGCACACCTTGGATTGGGGCGCATAGGATACTCCCGAAGGACTACCACCCAATGGAAAAGTGCGCGCAATTCCATTGGTGGGCTGCTTTTTCGTCGCCATCGAGACCGGCGCGGGTTGCCTCATTCATTCCTGCCTTTCATGGGAGGAGCCCGTTTATAGGGACTCCCTAGCATTCACAGCAGAGCCCGTTTATAGGGTTGCTCATTCGCCCATCTCTCAACCGCAACCCGAACCATTGGCCTCGAAGCTTAGCCCCCGGACCAGCGTCAAGGTCCTGCAGCCCCCACCAGGGGATGCAAGATATTTCATCCTTAACTCTTTACATTTCCACTTTATACGTTTCTGGAGTTTCTTTCTCAAAAGCTACTCGTAGAGGCCGGCAAAATCGCGTTGATCCGGGTTTATTGTTCTGCCACATGATTTCTTGATCATCGGATTTAATTTGAATTGGAACAATATTAGTAGCAAGAATTTGTGAAATGTGTTTCAGGTTTCCTGTACTTGTAGCTAAGTGTCGATAGAGGTTGTGCATGGAGCTTGAATCAAATCCCCATTTAAAGAGAACTGTCGCGATAGAAGGAAATGAGGCAGGTAGAGATGCCGCAAGTCGAGCAGTTGTGTGACGCGCCATCGACTGCAACTTAACTGTGGCTTCTTCTTCATTTATCGTAATTCCATCTGGATAGCATAACTTTTTTTCTATTGTTAGGGTATCCCAACCCGGGTATCGTATATAATTTATGTGATCTTTACGAAGCTGGATGTATGAACTTCTTGTAAGATCATAATTAAGGTAGCGGACTAAGGCATCTTGAGGAGAGACTTTAAACGGTTCCTGTTTTTTTGAATATCTGTCCCAAATTTTTTTCGCCCTGCCAGGTGACTTATCCAATTCTTGGATAAGCTTTGCACCACTCACATTTCCATCCGCCCTTAATGACATTGCTGTAGAGAACGACAGAATTTCGCTTGAGACGGTTGATCTGACCTCTTCGGTGCGCTTTCTTTTTTGCGATAGAGAAATATCTGTAAACATTTTTAATTTTCGCTTTGTAGTTGAAGTCTGGTGAGTGGATTTCATTAGCTGTGCTTCGTTAAAATTTAGAACATTTTTTTTTAGCCACTGCGTTTTTAGTTTTAAAAAGGTCTTTTTTATATGACCACCTTCGTAGCCTCTCCAAAGTATTTTCAACGAAACGACGAATCGCACCCTTTATTTTCAGTTCAGCCGAAGTTTTCAAGGTTGGCAATACCTACGCCTTTTAAATATGTTTGGACATTTTCTATACAAATTTTTTTATCACAATTATAAAAATTTTCGAAGGCGTACATCCGACTTACATCTATAAAAAATTAGAACAAATCTTAAATTAAAAAAATGGTTTTCCGGAATTATTTGCAAATACTTTAATTGACCGTATAACCTTTTATCTTCTACTATAAATATACCCCTATAGGCCTAAATAAGAATTTAAAAAATTATTTTAAATGAAATGCGCTTACACAACCTTTATCTTATTATATGGTAATAAATACTAAATTTTGCCCGCTCACCCTATAAGCTCACTCTCGAGCACGACTCTTAAATAAGATCGTGGGAGGAAAAGTTCAGCAACAAACTCCTGCGAATTTTTAAAAACTGCAAGTGTAGCATTTTGTTTTTAATCAAAATTATTTAATTCGATTTTATTATTAGCTCTAAATCAGAGAATATATATAAACAAAAAAGATAAAACATGAACCGTTATGCTATGTCACAGCGTCTTTTTGAATTACCCTGTATATTGTAATTTAAAAAAAATCTTTTTAAAGTGCACTTGATAAAAGACTTTGTCAAAAAATGAAATTATAGTTTTAATTTAATGCTTCAATTGAGGCCAATAAAGTTGACAAAATGAATAAAATACATTAACACCCTCAGGGGGGTCCCTGAGGGTGGAATTAAAAAAAAAGTTTTTCTTTGTACTTGCCTTTATTAGATAAGAAATACCTATGCTAAATTTCAAGTTTCTAGACCCAGCGGTTTGATCTGTGTTGATAGTCGTATGTTAGCCAGTCACGTCGTCAAGCAAAGTTCAGTCACTTGACAACGGATTACTTCTAAATTCGGTAATATTCGGTAATTATGTTTTAATTTTTGTTTATCCAAACATCTTATATAACTAAAAAATACAAAATTTCCGCGGGCAATAACCGGCATCAAAAGTTATAGTCTAATGTATGCGTAAATATTTCTCAAAAAAAGCATTAAATTATTATAGGCTCAATATTTGTTATGAACAAAATTTTCAAATTGTCCAAGTAAAAATAAAATCTTCTTACCTTTATCAACATCAACCATCATTAAAAGATTTAAAAAAAATTGAGAAATACGACAAGATTATTTAATAAAATTAAATTCCAAATAGAAGCTATTATAGCATTTGACAACTTGTTGAAGTTTCTTGGTGTGACCTGACGCCACCCAGAGCCTACCATTTTTTACATTCTAATAGCTTAGTTAGACTATTAGGAATACTTTTTACGCAAATTAGTAATTTTTATTCGTAAAACTAAATTGCCTTAATGCGCGCCTTTTTGCCATTTCATTCCTTAGTGCGCCGGGATAGATCTCGGTGGGCCGCTATGTCAGATTGGCCGAATGGACATCTAGACTGGCCCAAAAAAATTATAAAAATACACCTAAGCCCTTATGAAAATTTCACCCCTTATAATTTTACATAAACTTATTGGTTTTTTTATTTAATTTTTTTACGAAATAATAACATTTTAAATACATATTGTAGCGAGTACCGCTCTGGATATCGGAGTGATGACTCATCGCCGATGAGTCATCGCCGGTGAGTCATCGCCGGTGACTCAGCGCTCGAACAATCGAGAGTGTGGAGCTCGCTGGAATGTTCCAGAAGACCTTGGCGCTGAATATATAAGAAACGGAGCAACACAGAGCAGTCAGTTGAGCTTTGGGTACTCGCGAAGAAATAAATAAATATAAGTGCAAATAAATAAACTAGTAGTGATATAAATAATTAGTAGTTAAGTGTTTAGTTAGTTTTATAGTGTTTTAAGTGTAGTTAAGTTTTTAAATAAATAGTTTAGTTCGTTAATTAACCAGTGCGTGTTTTAATTCACACTACGAACAGTTAAAAACGTTACAATTGGTGTCAGGAGTGCGATTAGTGTGAAAGTTCGCGAAAATGGTTTCGTTAATGGACTTAAAAGTGGCGGACCTTAAGCGGGAGCTAGAAGAAAGAGAATGTGAAACAACTGGAAAAAAGAATGTGTTGCAGCAGCGGCTTCGAGAAGCGTTGGAACATGAGGGTGAAAATCCAGATACGTATTTATTTGAAGGTTCGTGTGATATGCATTTATTGTTGCAAAATTTGAAAGGTGATTTAAAACAAAACATTCTGGAAAATTCCAACGACTTACAAAATAAAATGCTAGAAAATTCTAAAGAACTAAAAGTCGATTTGCAACAGAAAATGTTGGAAAATTCTAACGAGTTACAACAGAAAATGTTAGAAAATGTCAACGATTTAAAGGATGATTTGCAACAGAAAATGGTGGAAAATTCTAGCGATTTGAAAATCGATTTACAACAGAAGATTCTGGAAAATGTCAACGAATTAAAGGACGATTTGCAACAGAAAATGCTAGAAAATTCTAAAAACCTAAAAGAATATTTGGAAGGGAAGATTCTAGATAATGTCAATGAATTAGAAGAAAAAGTGGGACAAAAAGTTGACGACGTAAGGATGGAATTAGAAGAGAAAGTTGTGCAGAAAGTTGACGACATAAGGACGGAATTGAATGAGAAATTGGAAGTCAAAATTAAAGAAATAAATAGTAAACTGACAGCTGTAAATCTACCCATGATACTGGCGGAACCAGGAACAATGCCGGAGGGAAGCCGAGTTCGGATGAAACCACCTCAGTTCGATGGAAAAACTTCTTGGACCAACTACATCCGTCAGTTTGAGACAGCAGCAAAAGCAAATGGCTGGCTACCAGAAGAAAAAGCTACAGCATTGACTCTGGCTTTACGCGGAGATGCAACGGACATCTTGCAGACACTCTCTCCCAACGAAGAAGAATAATACGAAGCGTTGGTTAAACATCTGGAACTTCGATATGGCCAGACACATTTGGAACATGTCTACCATTCCCAACTTAAGAACCGCTGCCAGAAATCAAACGAGACTTTGCAAGAATTCGAGGCTGATATTGCACGCTTGGTCCGGCTAGCATATCCAGCTACTCCAACGACCGTTATGGAACGATTAGCGGTTCAAGCCTTTTTGGATGGACTTCGAGACAACGAAACAATACAGGCTCTAACACTGGCTCGTCCGAGCCAACTGGTTGATGCATTGGCTCGAGCTTTGGAATTCGAGGCGGCAAAGCAGAGCTGCAGGAGCCAGCCTAGAATAAGGAGAGTCGATGAAGAGAAAGAGGAGGAACCCAGAATAATTGAAGCAATCAGGCGAGTTTTTAAAGAAAATCTACCAGAGAAGAAGGAAATCCGGTGTTGGAGATGTGGAAAGCTTGGACATATACAAAGTCGTTGCAGAGGAAGTCAGGTGGCGCCGACTTCATTTAGAAAAATAAATAGGACCGAAGAAAAGGATGTGTATATTCGCAGGACTACAATCGTAGATGATCATTGGCAATCCGCTGAGGTTCAACAAGACCAGGAAAGGGACCCGGATTTGAAGCTCATCATCGATTGGAAAAAGAACGACTATAAACCAACGTGGCAGGAAGTCGCCCAATATTCGCCGAATGTGAAATCCTACTGGGCCCAATGGAATTCCATCATCTTAAGTGACGGGCTTCTAAAGCGCATTCTGGAGATGCCAGAAGGGGGAGAAGACAGGAAGCAGATAATAATCCCCAGAAACAGGATACCAGAAGTGCTGCAGGAAATCCATGATGGAACTACTGGAGGACATCTTGGGGTGACCAGGACGCTCGGAAGACTTAGGGAACGGTTTTATTGGGTCAACAGCCAACGGGATGTGAAGGAATGGTGCAAGAAATGCGCCGTTTGCGCGGCAAGCAATGGACCCCAGAAGCGCCCAAAAGCCCCAATGCGACAGTACAATGTGGGCAGCCCATTTGAGAGAATTGCAATCGACGTGGCGGGTCCATTTCCGGAAACAGAATCTGGAAATAAATACATCATCGTTGTAATGGACTACTTCAGCAAGTGGGCGGAAGCGTACGCCTTGCCAAACCAGGAAGCTGCCACAGTGGCCGATGCCCTTATTAAGGAGTGGATTTGTCGTTTTGGTGTGCCAATGGAGATGCATTCAGACCAAGGCAGGAACTTTGAATCTATACTATTCCAGAATGTCTGTAAAATTCTTAACATTCGGAAGACGAGGACGACTGCATTACATCCGCAGTCTGATGGAATGGTAGAACGAATGAATCGAACGATAAACCGGTACTTGTCCAAGGTAGTCTCTGATCACCAAAGAGACTGGGACCGCTTCCTCCATCTGTTCCTGTTGGCGTACCGTTCTTCTATCCACGATACAACCGGCCAGACACCCGCTAGCATTGTTATGGGACGTGAACTTCGTCTACCTTGTGACCTGAGGTTTGGTTGCCTACCAGGGGAAGATATTGCTGGAGAAGATTATGTCAGCAATTTACGTAGGAAAATGAGCGACATTCATAACCGAGTTCGTTTAAACATCCAGAGTGCCAGTGATAGAATGAAAGAGGCATATGACATCAAGGCGGAAAATGGAGGATTTCAACCTGGAGACCTAGTTTGGTTATACAACCCTCAACGCCGTCGTGGTTATTCACCGAAGCTGCAGACTTCTTGGGAAGGACCATACGAAGTCATGGATCGAATAAATGACATCATCTACAGGATCAGAAAACAACCAAGAGGAAAGCCGAAAGTGATCCATTTTAACCGATTGGCTCCTTACGCTGGAAACAATGATGACCAAATGAACCATGCTAGAGTAAGGCGAGTTAATCCTCCGGAAGACGAGTTGCTTTTTGAAGACTTCATGTATTTATATTCGAGCGGTAAAAAAGCTCGCTATGGTGTCACTCGAGAAGAACAACAAGATCTATTCACGGTTTCGGCCGATTACTCCTTGGCTCACTGTGTTGCAGAAGACCTAAGGATGTCCAGGTGAATAGCGGTTGTTTTTAAAAACAAGTTTGGACGGATCGACGAGCTACGAAGGCAGAATCCCAAAGTTGGAGAGGTGCTTGAAATTGTGAATAATGAGCAGATAGGCAACAGAAGTATCTTCTATCTGGTAACAAAGCAGCTCTCCCATCAGAAGCCAAACTACCGTGATGTATGGAATGCCTTAAATAAATTGAGGGATACCCTTTTGTCCAAGGACATCATGAACCTGGCGATACCAAAGATTGCCTGTGGACTTGACGGTTTGGACTGGAGAATAATTAGAAGTATGGTGGAAGTTATCTTTAGATTTAGTGGCATACACATTCTTGTCTGTTGCCACAACCCTAAAAGAACAACCGGAAGAAAGACCGTAGACTGCTACTTCTATAGGACGTCACACTGCAAGTTTGGATCTCTATGCAAATATCGCCATGGAGCTGAGGACCATTTTCGGGAAGAAAATGTTTTAAGACGGGGGCAATGTAGCGAGTACCGCTCTGGATATCGGAGTGATGACTCATCGCCGATGAGTCATCGCCGGTGAGTCATCGCCGGTGACTCAGCGCTCGAACAATCGAGAGTGTGGAGCTCGCTGGAATGTTCCAGAAGACCTTGGCGCTGAATATATAAGAAACGGAGCAACACAGAGCAGTCAGTTGAGCTTTGGGTACTCGCGAAGAAATAAATAAATATAAGTGCAAATAAATAAACTAGTAGTGATATAAATAATTAGTAGTTAAGTGTTTAGTTAGTTTTATAGTGTTTTAAGTGTAGTTAAGTTTTTAAATAAATAGTTTAGTTCGTTAATTAACCAGTGCGTGTTTTAATTCACACTACGAACAGTTAAAAACGTTACAATATTTTAAAAATGTAACGGGTATTTGTTTTTTGTCACATAAGAATGTGTATTCATGTTAAAAATTCACTATATTAAACATTTTTATAAAAAATATGTATTTTTAGGTTATTTTTCAGTATCTTAAATAAAAATTCCAATTTAAAAACCCTCCTGAACACCCAAAACCCCCCGTGTGCACAGGCCTGGTTTATACGAGTTTGTGTTTCATAAGATCATAAAGGGGTCAAAAATAAATTTTAACATAATTTTGGTACAATTTTTAGTAAAATAAACATTAGTTAGAGTGGGTAGATTTTTGTGTGATTTTACATTCGAGTATCACCCAGAAAATGCGTTCTAAACAAAAATTTTGTAAAATTTTAGTTTGTTATCCATGAAATACTTGTATTTGCATAATGCTGTGTTTGTCTGTCTTAAATTTTTTTTAAATAAAAATAAATAGGTGAGGTCCCCCCTGTATTGGCGCATGCTTAGACTCTTAGATTTTTGCATAATGCTTTGTTTGTCTGTCTTTAATTAAAATAAAAACAAATAGGTCAGTTAGGGGGGGGAATTGCACCCATTGGTCCCCTGTATCTGCGCCTGCTTAGATTTTAGATTTTTAGTGTTCAAAGAGAAAATTTTTCACTTTACTTGTTTCATGGGCTATCAAATTTAGGGCCGTCCACGAATCTTGTAAAGCTGCAGGTGACAAAATAAATCGAATAAAATTGCTTATTCGTTCAATTTTTTTGACCATTTTTAGCTTGACGAGATTTATGAAATTCATAAAAAATATAGGTATATTTATAAATAATTTTTCAGTATTTTAAGTAAAAATTATAGTTTAAAACCTGATTTTTTTTCATATTCTGTAATAATTATGTGTCACCATATTAAACAAAAATTACCGATTGAGAACAACAAAATTTGTTTTATGATTTTTTTTTCGATTCAGTAGCTTCCGCATGATAAATTTTAGACAAAAAATATAATTTTTTAAGTTTTGATCAATAACAGAAATATTTAATTATGGAAAACCACTCCGCGTGAAAAATCAAGGTACCTACCACTTCCACTCTATAGGGGCATTTCACGTCAAGTGGACAGCGAAAAAAAGTGACGTTCTGAAATTTTGTTCATATTCGGCTTAATTGTACTTCTAGTAGGCATGAATGTGGACAAACAATATTTTTTTTGTATGATGTTTATTTGTCAAGTTATTGGCTTCTAAAGAATTGTCGTTTTTGAAATTCGTATTTTTTGGAAATAGTTTTTTTTATTAAACAAATTTATTTTAAAATATTAAATATGGCGACTTAAATAGAAAATTTACTGTTCTTTTTTAATACAAAATAAAACTCGATTTTTTATTTTTTTTAATATACACAGGGCCGAATTAAGACAATTTGTCGCCCTAGGCCAATAATAATGGCGCCTATAATTACAGCCTATAGAAGTACCTATGGTATTAAATATAACACAATACAGGGATGCACATAGGGGGACAAGTAGGGTTTTATAAAAAAAATTACAAAAAAATAAATAAAAAAACAATTTATTTTTATATAGAAACAAAACAATGAAGAAACAAAACAATGAAGAACTAACTTAATTTTTACAATTTTTAAATAACCTAAAACAGAATTTTACCTATAACATTTCGTCGTTGATACTGCAAAAGGTCACTTTGCCTCAGTGGCGGCTCGTCAGGGTAGGCCTCTGAGGCCGCGCCTCACCCTTAAAATGAAGGAACGAACGACTTTTTGTATTTATATTTTTGCCTATTACAAGTGTATTTTTATAACAGTTCTACCCAATAAAAAGTAAAAAACCAATCAATCATACTAAGCGTAAATAAAAATCCAGGCGCAAAGCGCGTCAAGTTAACGTGCATCGTTGGACAGAGGCGAAATTTTCACAGCCTCGGAAGCTCCCATTTACCTCTTGAAAGCGAAAATGACTCACCAACAAAAATATCGCCGTAAGTTCGCGAATAAACACCGTAGATGAGGCGATATTTAGTTAGCTTGGTTTGTTCTGATTGGTGGTCCGTTTATGGTGGGATGCCAGCGGAGACAAAGAAGGTTGCCAGTCTTCTCTTAGCGTTTGTAGAGCACGTTATTGTTTTGATTCAGATTAAATTATTTAAAACTTTTGGCTGATCTTTTATAGTTTTTGTCTCGATTAGTAAAATTTCTTATTTAATTATTGTAGGGAACACACTAAGGTAGATTTAGCAGTTTTTATTAAGCAAATTTTATATTTTGAAATAATAGATTGCATAATTCTTCAATTAGAGACGCGGTTTAAAAATTTAGAATTACTTTTAAATCTCACTGCAGACCCACAATTTTACGACCAAATAATAGATAAATTTTCAATCTTAAAAGATAGACGTATAGTATTTTATATTTTTTAATACTTAGGTAGGGGTCGACTTTTTAGTTTTATTTTTATTTTTTGATTAATTTATTTATTTTTAACTTTTTAAGACTATATTTTAAGTTTAAGATTAAAACTAGTCTTTGATGTGATATTTTGTTTGTTTTGTTTTTTAGAGTTTATTTTTTGGTTTAGTAGTGCTATCGGCTCCATTTTAAAAAAGGTCAACGCGTCGCAGAATAATACCTCCCGGGTGACGTGGAAATTTATTCGTATTTAGACAAAATTAACCTTATGTAGCCTCACCCTCCTGTACACCCACGAGCCGCCACTGCTTTGCCTCCTTTCTGCACAAGGGAACAAAAATAAAAAATCGACTTTTTTATTTTTGTGGGTTATTTATTTCTTTTCTGCAGAAAGGCGTTCAAGTGAAACGACTTTTTGCATTAACAACGACGATTTGCAATTTTTTTCCTGCATTTAAAATCGGAAAAAGATAATATTTTCAAAATTTATTTTATTGACTTCTTCTGCTTCTATAGATAGAAGAGCTAGATTCGCAGTCTTCCCGTCTACTAGGCAACTGCGTTGAACATTTTTAGAAAAATATCTCTGCTTTTAAAATAAAAAAGGGTATTACACGTTTGATAATTATAATTATTTATTTTAATTGATTAATTTTAATATTCAACCTACTTACAAAGAATTGATTATTCTGCCTGGGCGCCTATTGGCTTCGCGGCACCCTAGGCCATGGCCTAGGTTGGCCTATAGGTTAATCCAGCACTGAATATACAAAACCGGAAATAAACTTTTCAAATCATAAATTTAGTAACTTCGACCAATTTTTTTTTATTTTTTTTTTATTTCAAAATATAGCCTGAAGTACATTTATTATACACCAGAAGTTTCAAACTTTGATCTGTTCAGGAGATAAATAAATTAAAGTACATACGTGTCGCACTGAGCGTAGTACCTGGCCTTCCTTAAGCCGGAAAAAAATAACATAATGAGACAATATTGTAACAAAGGAGGAAAGTACCTATTTTATTTAAAAAAAGTTACAATTTTATAATCTACGCTAGAACTGGTTCTTTTTACCAAAAGGCCTTCGGTTGTTGGAATAAAGGCATGCAACTTTTTTGTTCCAGGAATGGTGATTGCTGAATCGAACCGGGGATGCAAAAAAATTCTATGACGTTGAATATTGTCTTTGGAGCAGTAGTAAATGGCTGTCTGTTTTAAAGATGATTTTGCCCATTCGTATAATCGCATTGGTGTAACGATTGCGTTACTTGCAGGCAACTGTAGGCTTGCACGCGTTGCTAAACGCTTGAGGTTTCCTCCAAGCCCATCGCACGGTCCTTTTCCGTGAGACGTTGCGTGAAAATGTATCTCTGCATCGGCATTGAAATCTTCATTGTAATAAAATAGATTCACAAAGTTAAATCTATTTTTAAAATGTTGTGAGGCCCCGTCAGTTCCATATATAATTTTAGACACATTGATTGCTTTTCCTAAAAGATGCTCGTACAGTATTTTTTGAAAAGCGTAGACGGTGGCTGTATCATGCTTTAAGTCATCTGAAATCATAACAATGATGCCATGTTTTATTTCATTTCCATCTCTATAATAAAAAACCGATGTCAGAAGTGTTGCCTGTTCATTATTCCAATGAAAAGATTGAACAGCATCTTGGACAACAAAACTATAATTTTCGGCAAAATTACATTGCACGAGGATTTCGCCTTCAACGATAGTCTCCTTAAGAGTTTTAAAATACAACGCCTGTTCCTCTGCAATATAGGCATGAGGTTTCAATGTATCCAAAGCGTCACACAAGCTATCCACAAAATCATCAGAAGACAGCAGTTGAGTAGATATTGTGAAGCGATCTGTGCCAACCCATTTTTCAAACTGCACGTCCGTCACTTGATTGTTCAAATTTTCACGAATTGCACTTAAACCAGGACAAGATTTACAACATTCATTTGACGGTGTTTTTGTAGTCATCAAATGACATGTTGGTGTTGGATTGAGACACATCATCTTGCGAAGGCAATCTTTATAAGATGTAAGTGGCATGGCAGTTCCAGCAGTAAGATTGGCAATATCTCCTCCATTTAACATCAGCTTAACATTTTGATGGTAGGTACAAACACATACCATATGTGTACATTGCTTGGGTCTTAGAGTAAAAAACTTTGTTAAGCCTACCTGAATGTTCGAATATTCGTCTTTTGAACTTCTGATAAAGTTCATCAATGTTGCACATTAGAAGTTGTTTTTGTGGGTGCGTTCTTTTGCCATTATCTAATTTGAAAGATATAAAATCTTTTTTACCAAGCAATATTCAGCTAATATCTTCTCGCAGGTAAAAACATTTAACTAAGTTTTCGGTCTCAATTGGTAGTATACGTGGGTTTGGAGATGACAAGACACCGAATCGATCTACAAGTTGCTTTGCTTTTCTCGCTTGCCGTCTAGATGTGCCAAATTCTTCCGCAAGTTTATTTTTACTCCATTACTTAGGCGCAATAGTCAGTATCATAGTCTTCATAGAATTTGAAGTAGACGGATCATTACATTTTTCTTTTAGTTGCTTTAAAATTTCTTGGTTTTCTAGAACTGTTTCAGTTTGAGTTGAATTATGTTTAAAGTTATCTTCAGGAATGAACGGTTCATCTTGGGTGTTTTGCGAAGGTTCACTCGATGTTTGACTGCACTGTAAAAGATCTTCATTAATTGGTACTGAAGGTGTTTCATTTAAGAGCCTTTTCCTACAAGATGCATAACATCGAGTGAAAATCTCCACTTTTGAGCCAAATGTTCAGATATTTTCCTTAAATTTTTAAACTTTCGATGAAGCACCAAGCGAAATGGATTAAAACATCGATCACCGTACGGAGCCATTATAAATCAATAACTTTCTTAAAATGTGCACAATTCACTGAGAGATTAAAACAACAACTACAGAAATAACGAAAAATACGAAATGGCTTAGCTTCTATTTGTCATTTTAATACTTCTCATATCTAAGAGATGGCGCTAGCAGTCGCTTTTTACATATACTTACTGGCATTTTATTACTTATCACAAAATTTGTTTTAGACTACTGCTTCCTACTAATATTTTTGTTTAATAAGTACTATTTTAATTTGAATAATAAATACCCCACAACATTTTTAAGGCTTTAAATACGCTTAAATAGGAAAGTAAATATAAATATTGCAGCGGTTTAGTGTAATATCGCGCAAACCAGAAAGCTAGAGTACGACGCTCAGTGCGGCACGTATGTACTTTAATTCATTTATCCCCTAAACTATTGCAGATCCCAGTTTGAAACTTCTGGTGTATTATAAATGTACTTTAGGCTATATTTTGAAATAAAAAAAATAAAAAAAATTGGTCGAAGTTACTAAAATTCTGATTTGAAAAGTTTATTTCCAGTTTTGTATATTAAAAAAAATAAAAAAGCCCGTCTTATGTTGTGTTTAAAAATAAGAGTAAATTTTCTATTTAAGTCGCCATATTTAATATTTTAAAATAAATTTGTTTAATTCAAAAAACTATTTCCAAAAAATACGAATTTCAATAACGACAATTCTTTAGAAGCCAATAACTTTACAATTAAACATCATACAAAAAAAATATTTTGTGTCCACATTCATACCTACTAGAAGTACAATTAAGCCGAATATGAACAAATTTCAGAACGTCACTTTTTTTTCGCTGTCCACTTCACGTGAAATGCCCCTATAGGCAAATACACAAGGATTTGGCGGAAGGGGTTGTAAAAAAAAGTAAAACTTCCACTCTATAGGCAAATACATAAGGATTTGGCGGAAGGGGTTGTAAAAAAACAAGGTGGACCGCTTTTACAAAAACCGTCCCGGGCCGTTTAAAACATGCCCATCCGCCCCTGGATTCAGGTTTGGGTTGAAAAGATATTTTAAATTCACCGATGTGATAGTGTTGACAATTAATATTAGGTTCATCGGCGAACTTTCGAAAATTTCTGGCTTGTTTTAAGACTATCAAAAATTGTCAATCTGTTGTTGAGAAACTTTACATAAGCAAATCTTTTTCAAAATATTCTTTACCAATGCCAACGATATTCTCTTCATCATGACCCATAGCCACCAAACGGTCTGCAGTTCTTTTTATTACGCTCCCCACACCGTCAGTGGCGCCTTTTTCGTGTCTACGCTCAGTATAATTCCATGTTATTGATTTTAAATTTAAAAAATGGTACTTAACTTCTGATCTAATAATATAAAACATTTTACAGTTACGATGGACCATCACTGATAAAATGCACTGTTGACTGGTTTGGCACTTTTAAAGAAATTACATCAAACACTGGTTGTTAATGTACCAAAATTGATACGGGATCGCGCCTTAATAATTCAGATACTGTACACAAGGATTCTACGATTACATTCTCAATATTTTGATAATACATCACTACAGTATGTAGACTTAGCTGCTGACGCGAGCCACCAAATTTCATTGACTACATTTTCAGAGAAGTCGGCATGAATAGTAATTCAGAGTTGTCTGTGATAGTTTTTTAATGTAATCAATTGCCTTATCGTTTCTGTTACTAATATGCTTTAATAAATTTGGAATCTCTTTCTCTAACTCATCTAACATATTTTGTTTTGTACACTGTTTTTTTTCTTTAATAGTTTTTTTGCATCGTTTAACTTGTCCCTTCATATTAAAATCTTGTTTAATACTTTGTTGGCGGGGTGTCAGTTCCTTTATTGATTTAATTTTATTTTTACGACGATGATATTGTTTGCGTTCTTTTTGTTTTTCTCGCTCATAATATTCGGGATTATTTATGAGCTTTTTGCGTCTTAATGTTTGCAGCTCAGTTTTTCTGTTTTAGTTTATCAACAGTTTTTTATTTTTGCCATATCTTCTAAAAGGAGATACATTACTTTGGATTTAAGTAGTGAAATTGCATTAATCGTCAACTCCGTAGATCTTCATTATCTCCGAATGGTTGATGATTTAACCGTTAGTAACATTAAAATAAGTCTTGAAAAACATAGTGCTACTTAGAAAGGTTCTTAATATTATCGCTATAAATTCAATTTTTACACGAACATTGTTCTGATTATTTTATTAGCAATTTCGCAAACAACTACGGAGATGATTTTAATACTCACATGGATTTGCCTGATTTAAATGTAGGCATTTACTAGAAAAAGTACACTTTTACTTTTTTTTACGTAAATGTATACACTAGCTCAGAGATTCCCAAAGTGTGCGGCGCGACGCCCTTGGGCGCCGTAAAGGCAGCCTAGGGGCGTCGCGAGGCTCTCGTCTTCACCCCTTTTTTTTTCAAATAAAATTGTTTGGGGCGCCGTGGCAATAAATCAAACCTGTAAGTGCTCCGCAAAGTGAATACGTTTGGGAACCCAGGACTAGCTAGTTTTTGGATACATTTACAGAAATTTATATTTTGACTGTGACATATGCCTTTTTATTAATAATTAACCAGTAAGAGATAAAATAACTTTAAAATATAATAAAATTGTTATAAATGTTATAAATTGTATATGGTTATAAAATTGTCAAATTATTAAGCACAAAAAAAATCATAACATTGGTAATATTTCTGTAAAAGCTGCAGAAATATTCCCCAATACCAAAACAAATCACAAAGTGCTTAAAGTACTTTTCGCCAACGATGTTGGCATCTTCAGAAGCGAAGTGTAACTGTTACACATCCCACCAAAGTTGTCCTTTTTCAAGTAACAATGGCTATGGCTATGGCTTCGCAGTAGTATTTTACTTGAAAATCGTATCGAAACGTTTAATGTGCCAACAACTAAAAACTTAATAAAATTTATATAAACAACCCGGGATAATTCTTTAATTTATCATTTATTATCATTATCATTAAAATATGCATAATATCCTTCAAAAGACAAATCCCGTAAGCAAATCTGTCACTACCTCCCGTTTTATTTCAATTTGCTTAATTAAGTATTAAATCATAAGATTCTTATTATTTTTTAAAAACAATTAAATATATTAAATAATTGGTGCAAATTCACAAAAACATTTTTATAATGTTAAAATGTTAAACGACTTTGGGGATGTATTTTAACAATTATATTGATATGGACTGTATTAGTTAAACTGTCTTAACGTTCAAAATAATGTTTTAATTCAACAAGGATTATACCTAATTCCTAATTATATTCCAATTAAGGTTTTGAAGTGCAAACCTCTGGGCTTTCGTTACAAAATAATTCACATTTCACATTACTCTGTTAAAATTAAGATTTTATTTCTAGAACCACCAATAGAACGTTTCACGTCCAGACGTAAATCAGTATTCGCCGAGACTTACGATCCCGAAGAGGATGACGACGATGATGACGGCATTAAGACGGTGTTTCCCAAATCCGACGAGCAGAGGCAAAGATTGTCAGAAGCTGTTCGTAACATATTGTTATTTAGATCGTTGGACAAAGAGCAGATGAGCGAGGTTTTGGACGCCATGTTCGAGAGAAAAGTTCAGCAAGATGAATTGGTTATTAAGCAGGGAGATGATGGGGACAACTTTTATGTTATACAAAGGTAACATTTCTTATTATAAAGGGTATTTCAAAAGAAACGACGCATTTCTTTCGTCGTGATGTTTACTCCGGTTTGTTTTGACATCAACTCGTTGATATTCACCATTAAAACGTACAAAATTTCCACTCCATTGTATATTATGACTGAACGTAAGAATTTAGGGACTGCAATTAACCAAATTGGCATTAATGTATTAAGGCACGTTCTCCTACAAATTGGCTGGTCGCTACCGGGTAGCTGCAGCTACTTAGTCGCCAAGACTCAAACAATAAAATTCATTGAGTTGTTATCCTACAAGCTACTCAGTAGGTGTCACAAAGACTTTGCTAGTCGTTGGAAGTAGCAGCTACCCGGTAGCGACTACCAGCAACCAGGGAATTTGTAGGAGAACTTTAGACCTCTCGGTAATTAGTTTGGAGCAAATTTTGGGGTTAATTAAGAGACTGGTTGATTTGTGGTTCCAACAATACGGTACAACATGCTAAACAGGTCAAATAGTCGATTTATTAAAGTAGACCTTCGTAAACGTATTATTAAAGGAATGTTTTAAGGTTTATCATTTGATTGAAGTTAAATCATATGATATTTTCGATTTTATTCTTTGGGCTATATCAAGTTATTGTTATATATAAGTTGGTACTTCATGGCAAAATAAAAAAGATATTAAATTAAATTAACTTAAAAGGTTTGTTCCTGCAAAGAGCCACGGACAATTTATCGACAGTTTTAAATTTGCATTAAATGCGCATGTTTTAACATGGCTGGTACAGTAGTTTAACTTTAACTGTTTAAGGGCCGGTTAATAAATGTTCAGTTAAAGTTCAGTTAGTTATCAGGTAGATAATTTCCATGGATACCATTGTTCTCACAACAATCGATATGGAATTTAACTGTCAGATAGACTAACTGGAACTTAACCAGATATTGATAAACCCGCCCTAAGTCATCAAACAAGAAGAGTAAACAATACCTATAAAATTATATCCAAAAAATTCTAGAATTACTAGGCGATGTTCTTTTACTACTTTCTTCAAAACATCGTAAAATGAAATTTAAAAAAATTAGGTACCCAGGTGCCAAAATATCAGTTTGGTGAAAGTCCGTAAACTTTTCTGACTGTCAACAAACTTGTATTTTAGTTGGAACCACGAATTTAAAATCTCGTACTCTATTCTGATTCTTGCTGGAATGCCCGATTTCCTATTGCGATATTAAAAAAAAAAAATAAAATTGGCTTTAAATTCCTTGCGGTGTTTCCGGATGAATTTCATGAAAGTTTCCATAGAGAAAGAGAAAAAAACACAAAATACTTGATTTTACCCGCAAGAGGTAGTGTAGTTATCTTTTTATATATTCCAGTGCATTTGCTTTATTTTGAAATAGAATAGAATAAAATAATTATGTAAATTTAGTAAATATGCAGTATTACCCGGACAACATTCGTGATATTCATACGAACATCATGTCGTGATTTTCACAAATTTTATTCATACTGATATCATACGGAAGTCACCGCGTGATAAATGAAAATCATACGAACGTCACGTCGTGATTTTCACAAATTTTATTCATACGGACATCATCCGGATGTCACTGCGTGAGACATGAAAATCATGTCGTGATTTTTTATGCCATCGTTGTTTGCGATTGACCGATGCATCGCGATGGCACAAAAAATCTTGTCGTGATTTTTTATGCCAACGGTGTTTGGATAATCATTTTTGCGTTAAGTTCGTACACTATGAGAAAAATTATGTTGAATCAACAGTTTTTGCGGTTAAATAAATTAACTACTTATATATTTACAAGGTGTCCCTAAACTTAGTGGCATAAATTTAGGAGCAGATTAAGCAAGTCAAAATAAGACGAAAATCTAAATAAATATTTTTCCTAATTACGTATGTTTAAAAGTTACAGGGTGATAAAGTGTTACTTATCATATCAGTTTTTTTAATATAACTTCTACTATGGTAGACTTGGAAAGGTGATATTTTGCAAACAGTCACTTACTACCAAAACACATATTCACACATAATTACAATTGTTTGAGTGAACACAGTGTCGTAGAAACGGGGGTTGCTTTAAGCTTATTGTCCCATACAAACTTTGAGGTTAGGTTTTTGTAACATTTGATGCAATTTATCGATTAAATAGTTTGGCTACCATTAAAAAGGTGTACCTCTCAAACTTCGATAAAATAAACCGTTTCCGAGATATTTGAGATTACAATAATTGTTGTATCGCATTATTTAAAAGGATTAAAAGGTATATGATAACAAATTTTATTTTTTAATTGAAAAAACTAAAAAGGGCATTCCATGAGCCTCGGGCCCTGACCGTCACATTAAAAAAATGTAGTTTTTTCAATTACATTTTTTTTTATCGTATAACTTTTAGTCCTTTAATGCGATATAACAATTATTGTAATCTCGAATATCTCGAGAACGGTTAATTTTATCGAAGTTTGAGAGGTACACCTTTTTAATAGTAGCCGAACTAAGTAATCGAAAAATTGCATCAAATGGTATAAAAACCTAACCTCAAAGTTTGTATGGGACAATAAGATTAAGCAACCCCTGTTTCTACGACACTGTGTTCACTCAAACAATTGTAATTATGTGTGAATATGTGTTTTGGTATTAAGTGACTGTTCGCAAAATATCACCTTTCCAAGTCTACCATAGTAGAAGTTATATTAAAAAAACTGATATGATAAGTAACACTTTATCACCCTGTATCTTTTAAACATAAGTAATTAGGAAAAATATTTATTTAGATTTTCGTCTTATTTTGACTTGCTTAATCTGCTCCTAAATTTATGCCACTAAGTTTAGGGACACCTTGTATAGTTAATTTAAATCCAAAAAAATATTGAATGTTAAACATGTTGATTCAATTGTTAACATACTTTTTCTTTCAATGTACGAATGTGTCGCAAAAATAAATATCCAAACACCGATGGCATAAAAAATCATGTCGTGATTTTTATGACCAAACACCGATGGCATAAAAAATCATGTTGTGATTTTTTATGCCATCGGTGTTTGGATATATATTTTTGCGCCACATTCGTACATTGAGAGAAAAAGTATGCCTACATATATATTGAATCAACAGTTTTTGTGGTTAAATGCATTCAATATTTTTTTGGATTAAAATTATTAGTTAATTTACATCCAAGAAAATATTAAATGTATTTGACCGCAAAAACTGGTAATTCAATTGTTAACATACTTTTTCTTTCAATGTACGAATGTGGCGAAGAAATAAATATCCAAACAAGTCGGTGCACCGATGGCATAAACAATCATGTCGTGATTTCTTATGCCCAAACACCGATAGCATAAAAAAACATGTCGTGATTTTTTAGGTCATCGGTCAATCGCAAACAGTGATGGCATAAAAAATCACGACATGATTTTCATTTATCACGCAGTGACATCCGGATGATGTCCGTATGAATAAAATTTGTGAAAATCACGACGTGACGTTCGTATGATTTTCATTTATCACGCGGTGACTTCCGTATAATATCAGTATGAATAAAATTTGTGAAAACCACGACATGATGTTCGTATGAATATCAAGAATGTTGTCCGGGTTCAATTAAAAAAGATATCCCAATGTTTAACAAAACGTTCACGTTTTGTTAAACATTGGAATATCTTTTTTAATTGAACCCGGACAACATTCGGGATATTCAAACAACGTTTTATAAATTATAACGGTGTAATGTGAATAACAAGCTAGGTTTTAAATTCGCAGTTCGCAGGGCTCATACGCATGCGCAAATTTTGCAAATATCACACCGTGAGTTCTACATGATATCACTGTGATGAAGCATGTGTATGCACTCAGGATATCACAGCGTGATAAAAAAAATCACGTTGTGATATCATCATGACTTCACCAGGAAATCCCGATTGTTGTCCGGGTATTTACTAAAAAAATTTTTAGTTAGTATTTTGATCAAAATTTGCAAATTACCCGCTTTAAAACTTTACTCACAAGCATGACGAAAATACCCGATTTTCAGGAACACTGAAAGCAATTTTAACCTCACTTTTTTCCAATTTACTTAAAGCCACAATCCACATTGTGCTTAAAGCTAACTTTAGTCGAAGTAGAACCTGCTGGTTGAAATGGGTGTTGAATAAAATATTATTTTTTATTGTTATTATTGTAATAATAATAATAATAATTTACCAAGAATCAATTTGTAAAAATATTTTCACTGAAATAAATGAGTTTAAAGTTTAGGTTAATTCAAACTACTAAAAATGGTATGTTAATAACTTTGTATAGCTTTAAATTTTATTCTGCGTTTATATGGCAAATTATTTAATTTTTTACCATTGAAATAAGAATCACTATTGAATGATCATATAATTTACAGCGGAATATTTCATGCTTTGGTGGCTAGCGAACCAGCCCAGGTTCCGACACACATCCACACGTACGATAACGCCGGCAGTTTTGGCGAGCTGGCTTTGTTGTACAACATGCCACGTGCCGCTACAATTAAAGCCGTCACCACCGGTTCCTTGTGGGCCATGGATCGTCAAACGTTTAGACGCATTTTACTGAAATCAGCCTTTAAAAAGAGAAAGATGTACGAAACTCTTATCGAAAGCGTACCAATGCTGAAAACTTTGCAAGCTTACGAAAGAATGAATCTGGCCGACGCTTTGGCCCCAAGATCGTTTAAAGACGGCGAACGGATAATTAAGCAGGGGGATGCCGCGGACGGCATGTATTTCGTCGAGCAGGGTGAGGTGGTCATCAGTATATTGGACGATAGTGGCAAAGACGTCGAGATTAACCGTATCGGTAAAGGCGGCTATTTCGGAGAGTTGGCTCTAGTTACGCATAGACCAAGGGCTGCCTCTGCCTACTGTGATGGCGACGTTAAACTAGCATGTAAGTTTTTTTTTACTTTTTCTAAGGAGCGTTTATCTACACTATTATTACAATAATACAATACATTTTTAAGCCATACAAGGCGACAACACTTACAATAATGTTTATTGCTTAAAAGAAAACAATAACAATGTGAAGTTTAATATGTCTAGGACTCAAAATTTCTTCCATCTCCTTAATAAAATATTTACATAAAAAAATGTGCAAGCCCAGCAAACAGAAACGTTTAAAACAAGTTAATTTTAAATGGATTTTTTTAAACACGTGTTTTTTTTTGTTTATAATACCACTAGTGGTAATATTTTACCCATAAAATTTTTGATTTTTATACGAATGTTCTTTTCTTGGAAAGTGACATTAATTTTTAAAATTATGCCACTAGCGAAATTTTCAAGGAAAAATCTTGAGTAAATAAAAATCAAAAATATTTTCAGGGAAAATTTTATCAGGAGTGGTATTCTGCAAGACCATTTCACGAATATTTAAAAAAAAATAGTATTAACTGCCGATCCAATTTCTGTATGACTTTTTTTGACCAAAAGGCATATTTTTTGTCATTTTTATTTTTAAATTAGAAACGTCAACATTGACAATTATTTTTCGCATAACAACCAATTGGTTGCTATGCGACTCGTATAAATTAGTAGTTATTTCACCCATCATATCGATGGTTATTTGACAAAACATCGTAAGCGACAAAACCTAAATTTTACATGAGAGATTTTTTTTGTGTGGGAGCTTTAAAGTTATTTATCTGAAAACTGCTGAGGCATTATTTTTTTAATGTAGAATTCAAATATTTAAGTAAGATCGAATCCAATCTAAAATTTTCATTAAAATTTTGTGGCATACGATATTTTATAAGAACATCTTTGGAAAAATGTAAAATTAGTCTTGTCGCTTAAGTTACATTTTCCTTACTTTGTGGAATATAGATTTGATGATTACTTTTGTCAAAACATCGTTAGCGACATTTATTTTTTTACTCTTATTATTAAATAACAAAAAATTACAAAAAAATTAATTTATAAAATTTCACCAACGATATTTTGCCTACATTAGCTTTCTTTGAAAAAAAAAACCGAACGATTTTTATTCACAAACCAGTATCTAATCCATGGAGCCTACACAAGGAGCCCGAACTTAAAAGGGGAAATTGACAAAACCTGCCCTCTAAATGTACAAATTAAGTTTCTTCTTTTCACCACCAGCGGCGCTGATTGTCGATGCTAGCGTCAGGGCCGGATTAAGACAATTTGTCGCCCTAGGCCAGTAATAATGGCGCCTATAATTACATGGTATTAATATAACACAATACCTGTTAGCCGACAGGGGTGCTCATAGTAGGGTTTTATAAAAAAATTTACAAAAAAATAAATAAAAAAATAATTCATTTTTATATAGAAAAACAATATAATAAATAACCTAAAACAGAATTTTACCTATAACATTTCGTCGTTGATACTGCAAAAGGTCACTGATGCCCTGTGGGATATTTCTCTTCGGCAGAAAGGCGCTCAAGTGAAACGACTTTTGGCATTATCAACGACGATTTACAATTTTTTTTCCTGTTTTTAAACTCGGAAAAGGACTGACAAATATTTTCAAAATTTATTTTATTGACTTCTTTTGCTTCTATAGATCGCAGTCTTCTCGTCTACTAGGCAACTGCATTGAACATTTTTAGAAAAAGATCTGATAAAAAATGGTATTACACGTTTGATAATTATAATTATTTATTTTAATTGATTTATTTTAAAATTCAACCTACTTAAAAAAAATTGAGCCTTCTGCCTGGGCGCCTATTGGCTTCGCGGCGCCCTAGGCCATGGCCTAGGTTGGCCTATGGGTTAATCCAGCACTGGCTAGCGTTTCGGTACAAATTAAACAATTGTTTCAGAATAAACCGTACACCAGCGCCCTCTTATCTTAGGAAGATTCTTATTTACATGATGTTTGGACTCCTTATGTAGGCTCCATGATCTAACCCATGGTACCATGATCTAACCGTTATAAATATGAGTCAAATTATTTGACGCTAGAACAACATACAATTACTACAAAAAACACTTTTAACGAACCACACTGCTTACAAACAATTATAATTAGTAGAACTATTAATAATGCAATGAAAAAAGGAATTATAAGCTGAATTGCGGATTACTTAAGAGCGGGAATAACGCCTTGATAGATCAAGGCGGGAGCACAATATTATCGTAAGCGACACAATGTTAAATCGCAAACGCCATGTCTCGGAGTTGCTTACGATTATTTGTCGGGAACATAGAGGCGCTTACGTTATAAATCGGTAACAAATTAAAAGGAAGAGGCGCTACCAATAATAAAAATATTCAAACTGACCAATATTAAATTCCAAAATTGGGATAACTTTTATGTTAACATGTGCAGCTTATCCTAACTGACACTTTGATAAAATAAAAAGTAATTCAACAAAATTGTCGCTTACAATGTTTTGTCAAATAACCATCGATATAACAAGTGGTGTGAATGATTATCATCCATGTTATTTTCAAATTGAAACCGAACTACAGATTTCCGCAGGACGAGTGAAATGTGCTGCTCCGGTTTCAATGAGTAAATATCATTGATTATAATTATTTATCATACCACATGTTACATATATTTAGTGAGAAAATATAATGAATTTTAGGATACAGCAAATTGTCAGTTTGACATTTTAAATTAAAATATGCTTTAAAATATAAAAAAAAACTTTAATAAACCTTATTTATTCAAACTTGCCTTAATTTCATTATCGTTTACACCAACCCATCGATCTTTTAGAGTTTATAATATATTATTTTAATCATATAATAATAGAAAGGCAGAAAAATTATCAAGAACGCCATACGAACGAACATTATCCGGCAAATGACATAAATAATGGATGTTATAAATTAAAAAAAAAAATCATATATGGCTCTTATCGAAAAAGAACCAAGCGCCAAACAATTTTTCTGACAGCTTGTATTTTTAAATGTTAATTTGACTTAACTATTTTTCACATATATTTTGTAAATTTTAATAGATTAGTTCTATTTTATTTTGAAAATGGTTTTGTTTTATTTCAAAATTTTTTATTTGTGTTTTAAAATGTTATTTTGTTGGAAATAAATTTTATTTTATTTTTGTATTAATTGGTGTACCTATACGTTTAAAAATAAAGCGTGATTTATAAACTTTTAGTTGGCGTTGAAGGTAAAACGATTGAAAATACATGCACATGCGCTTTATAAATGCATGCATGTATTTTCACTTTCTACACCAACCGCCAACCAAAAGCACAGTATATAAAGCACCATGTATATATTAATTTAAGCTTAGAATATTATCAGGTAATGATAATCTATTAGTAAATGTTACATTCTAAGCGCGGTTTACCCGAACTCTACTGCCATCTATGTGTTCTGTGCTGAAACACAAAGTCAAAGCCACATCGTAAAGAATCTTTACTAGAGAAAGAGTCATATATGACTATAGATTAGATAAAGAGCTGTGATGTTTCAGCGCACGGTGCCACAGATGATAAAGGTGATATGTGCTGGTAGCACATTTATAAAGAGTCGTACCAGCTCCGCACACACAGAAGTGTCGTACATTTTGTACGACTCGCACATGTGCGACCCATAACTAGAGCCGATACGTCTCCCGTGCAGGCTGGTCAGAATATTTTATCCTTGTGTCGCCATATGGATCTGTCGAAGTAGCCAAAGTCGCCAAATAATTTTTGAGCGGGAAATTTGAATATATAAATTTTTGCCACTCACAGGTACCAAACAAAACAAAAATCGATTTATGAACAGAGAATTAATATTTTATAATTATTATTATATAGTAAGCCTGTAATTTATAGGATGTACTTATAAAAAGTCAGTAAAAGCCGAAATGTTTTAGGTTAGATTAGGCTTTTTTCGCGATTTAAATATTTAACTGATTTGTATGCTGTACACTTTTTTGGTTAATTAATTTAATGGTAGGTGGCGCTAAAAGAATGCTAAACAGTAGTCTGTAATGTAAACTTTTCCAATTGTGTGGAAGTATGTGGGTAGCAAATACGTTAGATTGTGTGTATTTAACAGTAGCCTTTTTCTATGCTGCCGTGCTTAATGAAAACGCCGTAACCAACAATTTTTTTCTATATATATACGGTTTTTTGAGTACCGAGGATAGACGCAGGATGAATTGTTCTAGTAGAAAATGCGGTAAAACAAAAATCTCAAAATTGTTGGTTACGGCGTTTTCATTAAGCACGGCAGTATGGTAGTCTGTTCTTTTTTTATGGTCTATTCTGTGACAGTAGAGCAAATAAATGTTGGTTGCTAAAACTGTTGATGAACGCTAATATTAAACTTATCGCTAAAATAACTTTTGAAAATCGCCCAAAGAATCGCCAGTCGCCAAATAACATTTTTTGACGCCAGATAGGGTCATAAAATCGCCAAAATGGTGATAAATCGCCAAATCTGACCCGGGACCCACAGCTCCGTATGCACTGACAGTGTATAGCGAGCCGCAGGTCGCGGGAAATTTTTTAGGTAAGATCTCACATCGGTCCGGCTCACAGTTCGGAACCAAACGCAGTACGTTTTTTGTTCTGTTATCCATATCTGACCGATACATCTCGCTCATGATTGTCGAATCATGCGGCTCGCTAGGGTCTAGTGAATTCTGTGGCGCATAACTACGTTTGGTAGTCACTAAACTATGAAATGATTTTCCTTTACGTCAATGTCTTTTTATATAATTTTTTGTACATATTTATTATTAATTAATTTAAGTTGACTCTTAAAATACAACTTTTGATGTAAAATATTAAATTAATAGACTTTTTATTGTTATAGAAAATTGTAATTGTAAAATAAATAATATATTCCTTAATAATAAAAAGTAATATAAAATAAATATCACAATTCTCAGCACACAAAACATGTAAATAAAATAAATAAATAATATAACTTTATTATGTAATATCCTTTATA